ACAACAGCCACAACAACCACAACAACCACAACAACCACAACAACCACAACAACCACAACAACCACAACCAAAACCAAAACCACAACCACAAGCACAACCACAACCACGACGACAACGACAACGACAACCAACAGCAACACACAACAAAGAACAGCAGCAACAACACCTCCACCACCAACAACAATAAGCACAATCACAACCACAACGGCAATGATCACAGCAACGACATCGGCAACAGCAATAGCAACATCGGCAACTACAACACCAGCAGCAGCAGCAACAACAACAACAACAGCAACAACAACAACAACAACAGCAACAGTAACACAACAGCAACAGCAACAGCAGCAACAACAAGCAACAACCAACAAACATCAAGTAACAAGCAACCAACCAACCAACCACAACCGCAACCACGAGCCCAACCACGACCACAACCACAACCCAAACCGCCACTGCAACTACACTCAGTCACAATCACAATCACAAACACAACAACACCAACACCAACACTATCACCAACAACATCGATAACAGCAGCAACAACAGCAACAACAGCAACAACAGCAACAGCAACAACATCAACAGCAACAGCGAAAGCAACAATCGTCATCAGCACCAGCAGCAGAACCAGCACTAGCACCATCACCTGCACCAGCACTGGGACCACCACCTGCACCTGCCAGCAGCAATAACCGCAGCCACAACCACTCACAACCACAACCACCAATGACAGTGGCAACGACCTCGACGCGACGGCGAGGGCGACGACGGCAACAGCCTTGACATCTGCAACAACAACGACAACAACAAGATAGAAGGATCCATGGGCAAGAAGCATCAATCGTCCTTATTGAAGGCATTGTCATCGGCGCCACAGGCACACAGCCCCCGCCCAGCCGCTCTCCCCAACACCATGGAGGCGAAGAGCACCATAGATCTCAAGAGCCCCAGCTGACTGACAGGAGTCTGTGCAGCAGTATCTGGATGGGCTCCGCGAGGCTTGACCGGCGGAATGAACGCAAAGCATTCTGTGAAGTCCCAAGAACTTGCGTGATCTACCTTACTCTGTGTTCTTGTTGCTTTGATGCCGCAATGCCTTGGACGACTGCAATTGCCCAAGTTACGTGCTTCGGAAGCACAACCGGGCAGCCAGTGCAAGTCAAGCATCCGGGTACTCGCAGTGGTGGCAATCGATCCTAAGCCGGATTCGTCAGCTTTCATTTCGGACACAGCAAAGCTGTGCCTTGCAAAGACCACCCTCCCCAGCCTGGTCATGAGCTTTCTTTCTAGGCTGAGCCAAGTCTCGGTAGTGGGGCGCGAATGCCAGGTGGCCTGGGCCATGCAGACTTCCGAGCAGCGTGCGAAGTTGTTCAGCGCACCTCGAATAGCTAAAGGGCCGTGCTTGCAAAAGAGATCACGCGTTGAAACGGCGATTTTGCATGGTGCTGACACTGGAGGACAAAGACTATCCCCAGTGCTTTGATCGGAAGCTGACCTGCTGACCAACATGTAAATGCTTCAAAGGACCCCTACGAGCGCGATATCCTTGACCTCAAGATTGGAGAGATTCCTTGCCAGGTTAGGGAGGGTCAGCTGTTTGGGAGAGGGGCGGCGGGAATAGCTACAAAAGCCTAAAAAGTTGGACCCTCTGCCGTCGATGATGATTTGTTTGCCCGACATCCAGAAGCATAAGAAAAAACGCCTGCCAGACTCCTCCCGTCTACCTGCTTCTGAGCGCCGAAAGCTTTGAAGGCCATGGTCGACTACCGGGAGCGTTCCTGGAGCCATGGCCTTTCCGTTGAAGATGCTTGTGCGGTGGGCCGGCGACGTGCTCCTCGGCATGCTTCGTTTTGTTTGGGAGAGGGGTTTTTTCTGTGAAGCGCCGCAACCCCCGCACTCGGTAGAAATCACTTAGTCGTCCAGTTCGGCCGCACAAAATCCCGCGACCCTGCAACATGAAGGGTTTAATTTGATGGCGTGAAGCCACACGAAGTGGCAAAGACCACTTGAGGATCAACTTGTTCTGGACCGCTTCGAGCGCGATGTCCTCGATAGATGGGAGAGACCAGAGGGCTGGAGCCTCAGACGGTGCTTGCAAACGGGCTTGCTCTGAAGATGAAATCCCGATGAATATGCCACATCTGACAGGTTTGATTCTTGACTAGATTCGTAGAGAGAGACAGGCATAGCTTTCTTGCTTTGCTTTAGTTTTCGGTCCGTCCGTTTGTGGTACAACAGTTTCGTGAATATCGGGGCACAAACCCTTGCTAGCACACAGACCCCCAAACGGGGACATGTTGCTCTTGCCCCTTTCCTTCTACAGCTGAGCCCGTCCCAACAAAATGTTGGATGGGGCTCGCTGGAGCCCGGGCCGCGAGGACTGCTCGCGTCCCACACACCGGAGCAAAACGTAGCTGCAGTTCTGGCCACAAACCCATGCGGCGTTTTCAGTCCTACAAAGCCCCAGAAGTCGGGCGGGCTGGATGCCCAGGAGGCTTGGCATGCCCCTTAAGCCTGGGAGAAGATAAGAGAGAGAGAGAGAGAGAGATCTGTTTCGGGTAGCCTCTTGCTTGTTTTCTTTGTAGTTCCAGCACTGCATTCCATGCCCAAACACCCTCGTGCCCATTAGGTTGGCAATCGACTAGGGAAGATCCCTGTCCTTCTGTTGTCTTCAGGAGGTTCGGTGGCTTTTGATTGCTTGCTACTTCGTAGAGGCTGGATCATGCAAGATGATTCTGAACGGGAAGGCAACGATTGCCACTGTAGACACCAAGATTCCTTTGACAGGGGCTGTGACCCCTCCATTTGGGAACCCAGATGTCAAAATGCTGGGCAAGCTCGATCGACGTAGGAGAAGAACCCCTTCATGACAGGCTGGAGATCCCATGATCGCTTATGAAGGCTTGTTTGCCTCCGAGAGTCGGTGTTGTTGAATATGCGGCCTGTCTTTGCCTCGATGGAGTTAGCCGACTTAGTAACTCGCTCCCCAACAGTCGGGGGCGCTGACGCGCCCGGGCGAGGGGGGCTTGCCCTTCCCGCCCATAGCCCTGACGAAAGAAAGAGAGAGAGAGAGCATCTGATTAGTTGTTCGAGCTTTGGTTGTGTTCCCCAGGGCTGAGCTTGTCGTTTTCTCGCGAACATTCCATCTTTTGGGCAGGCTGAGTGTACCATTGGCATCCGCAACAGGCGGGGGCACATGAAGCACGCGGTGGGGAGGCAACTCCCCACCACAGCCCTGAGGAAAGAAAGAGAGAGAGAGACAGAGAGCAGGGACCTCATCGCACATAGTGTTCACACAGCAACCAAACAACCAGTGCGCGTTCGCGCGCAGAGTGCGGTGCCTGCCGTGCTCTTGACTGTGTGGAAGAAGAGAGCAGGGGCGCGCCTCTCGGCGCGGGGGGCTTAAACCGCCCCTCGAACCCCGAAGTGAAGTGAAGTGAAGAGAGAGTATGAAGGCGGGGATAGGCTTTGATGTGGGTGTAAAGGTGTATTGCAGGGAGCACTCCCGATGGTGTCACGCCGACCTTAGCGCAAGACGCTGGACGAACTGAGCCACTTCCGGGGGGGCGGCGCTCTCCCCCCCTGCTCGGAAGCAAGCAAGCAAATACGTAGGCAGACATAATTATAGTACGAGATCCGACCAACGCCTGAAAACCTTTGGGTGGGTTCTGTCACCCTCTGTCACTCTATGGCCTGGCGATCGATGAACGAACCAGCTCCCTGCACAACTGGTAACAAAACGTCTTGCAAGTGGAAGTTCCGAAGTGGGAATACCGCTTGGCAAGGGGAGGTCTCGATTGCAGTTCCGCCGGCTATGATTGTACTGTGCCGGAGTACATTCCTGGTTCCACGATCTGGCACAGGGGGATCCTGAGTCCTTAATGTCCTGGTATATAGATAGACAGATTCATTGATCGACTGAGTGATAAAAAATCTTAAGTTTATTTATGTGTATATATATATATGTATATATATATATATGTATATATACAGGTAGGTGGGTAGGTAGATAGATAGATGGATAGTAGATAGATAATATGTATATATGATATAACATATATATATATATATATATGTATTATATTATATATTTTATTTTTATATCATATATATCTATATATGTGTGTATATATATATATATATATATATATATTATCTAGTTAGTATATATATATATATATGAACATGTATGCACATACATATGTAGATAGAGTACATATATACACATCAGTATGAACATACGATTCGGTTAACTTCCGGCCGATCTTCTGTTGGACTTCAGGTGCTCTCCTTGCTCGCCGTGACTACGCTGCTGCTTGTGGCGGTGAGGGCCAGGACGGGCCAGCCATCAGATCCCGAGTTCGATTTCATAAGCAATTGCGCATTGCGCTACTCCAATTCTCGCTTATGTTCTCCCCGGTGGCATTGGTGGTGGCCCTCAGCAGGACACCGCACACGGCTGGGTCGAGTTGCTGTCTCCTGACCACCAGGCTCGAGATCTTATCTGTTAATCCGTACCCGACCTGACTTCCAGTTTTGCTGTCGCCTACGCGTGCAGCTTGGTCACAGCCTCTTTCAACGTGTGGGCACCGCGCTGCATCGAGCCGTCTGTGCGGTCCCAGGTTCTGCGCCCCACAGAAGCTCCGCGGAAAGTGCTCGTAATCGATGCTTGTGACTCGGCTTGCAGGCTTCAGTGGCTGACGTTGCTTGCTAGCTCTGACAAGCGCGGGGCGATGCATTGACGCCACTGCGAAGGGCCGGTTGGATTCTTTCGACCGAGGCACTTCCCCTGCTTTCGTGGGGCTCATCGATGTGAACGACAGAGAACCAGGCGACTTGAGTAGGTTATATCTTTGGCTTCGCTGCCCACATCATCCTTCTGGGCAAGCAGAAGGTGTTCCGCCGAGCAGTACAGTGTCGGCCACCTCCATGGGTGCTTTCTGCCTTTGAATGCGAGATCCCACAAGAGAGACTGTTATCCAATTATCCAGTTGCCCGAGTCTACATGGCAGGCTGCAAAGAGTCTCGACAGCTTCCTCTTCCGGGGTCAGCTTCCGGCGACTGGTTGCCAGTTTTTGCTGCTCAGCTGCCTCTGGCCGTGAACACTCGAAGTAAAAGCGATTCCTTCATGTCAATGTTGCGTGTGTTTTGTGGCTTTAGGCCGACCTTCAGCTTCGCCCAGAAGACCAGCCAGTGGTGCTGGTCGAGCCGATGCACGCCAAGCGAGCCTGGCGAGAGCAGGTTTGCAAAGACTTGCTTCGCGCTGGCCTCCACCTGAGTTGCTTCACCCGGCCCATTAATTTGAGGTAAACATCCATAGTTGCCGCGGACCTATGGTTTATATGGATACATGGAGAAGTGCCGCTTGGGCTCCGGCGATCCCGAGCCCGGATAGGCTCTTATGGGCGGCGGCCGTCATCGGGGCCGTAGAGCTCACAGCGTGAACCAGCCTGACGGGTCGGAGTGGTTTGAATAGCCACATACATCACCGAGGTGTTCCATCGCTTGCATTTGTTCCTTCGGCGGTGGCTGCATGTCAGATCCACTTTTGCACGGCAATCATTGACAGCATGATCGTTGTTGATGTCGGCGCTGCGCACCTCTCTGTGACACCCCTCTGTGAGGCACCGATAGTTATGTTGCTTGACGTCATCCCCGGCACGAGTGAGCACATGCCCACACCACGCAGGGCTACCTCCTCGTGCCGGCGATCGTCTCAGAGGACTTGGACCCTGAGGCCGTCGACCATATCGGTAGCATCATGGTCCCATGAACGCGTGACATGAAGGGAAGCCAGCCAGCAAACGCACTTAAGTCGGAGCTGTGCATCCCGATGAGGATTTTTGCTTCTTTTTAATCCAGTGATCCACTTTCAAGTGTCCGTTCTCCTGCAGCCCGGTTTGACGCATCTGCCCCTTTTCGATTTCGATCTGCAAAGGCACCAGCCTGGCCGCAGATCTCCAGTGCCATACAGACGGCAGTTCGCCGCTGCCCCCTGGAGACAACCAGAAGCCTGCGCAGGCACGCCGTCTTTGCTTGTCTTGCAGGCTAGCGGCTGTTGAACTGATGATTCGAAGCCAGGCATTGGGAGGATTTACAGGGACTCTGTGGCAGAACATGGCCGACCCCTTTTGGCTGGGAGCAAGTTTCGTAGGTCAACCACAGCTCCACTTGAACGGTGTCAGCGTGCTGCAAGCGCATTTTCCTGCAGCACATGCACAAAGCGTTCGCCAACCTGCCCCAACTAGATCGAAGCCCGGGAGTGCACTTTCTTGATTCATATTTAACTCCCACACACAAACAAACACACCATGTCCTTGGAGCACATCTGGACGTATGAAGTCATCGGTAGGACCGAGCTTTCTGCATGAAGCCTAATTTGTAGCTCCGAGAGTAACCTCCTTTCTACAGTTGAGGTTGTATAACCAGGGGGGTTCCTGTAAATTAGTCTAGGATCCCACTCGTGAGGTTTAGCCTGTGAAACGATAAGAAGAAAATGAAACGATCACGTTGAATGCATGTTACATGAGTTCTAAGACTAGTCCCATTACGATTTCTACTACTGGTATGAAGTGCTTCAAGTACTACTGATGCTACTACCTTTATTGGCACTAACTGCTAGTACTATTAGTAAGACTGTTCCTGTTGGTACTGCTCCTACCCCTGCTACAGCTACCACCACCGCTGCTGCTACAGTCTACAGCTCCTGCGGCTACTACTACTGTTCTTGCCACAGCTCCTGCTATTGTGGAGACTTGCTACATGCAACCTCCAAAATCCGAGGCAAGTTGAGTGCCCAAAACGATAACGAAGCGATATCAAAAAACGATAACTTTGGTTTGGCAGAGGTGCCTTCAGCAGGAGTGCCAGCTAGTAAGTTGAAGATGTTGGTAACCTGCTTGTACGACCTATAGACATATTGGACTACGTAAGAGGGGTTGCGATTTGCTGCAACCCACCACGCGTCAAGCCAGTGCCCTGTACTTGTCATACGTGAAAACCCTTGATACCTTGCGAAACTATAAGGAGCAACAAAAAAAACGAGAGCCCAGATCCGCCTGGGTTTTTTGCAACCGCAATTGTCGAAGCCGGACTACCGGTTTTTCTGTTCAAGCCTAGAGGCCCTTCCAGCATTTTCTTAGGCCCCGACCGCTACACGCGCGTTTCGAAACTGAAGCTTGAGCGAACACCGGGAAAGACTGATACATGGAAGCTGCACGACCCCCAAATCCTGAATCCTGAGCGCTTAAAGGCGAGATCCCATTGTGGCCGACGATGGAGTTGTGCAGGAATACGTCTACGGAGCAGCGCCCTTTTCGAGGCCGCAGGGCCGTCGCACCGACGAGGGACTGAAATCAGGTGACGAATCATGCTCAAAGTGCTTTCGCGAGAGCTCGGAGTGTGCGGGCTGCACCAAACCCTCAGTGGCGGTGGCCACGTTACCGTCTACTGTAGCTGATCGGGGCAATTGACCGCAGCCTGCAGTGCCGAAGCCAAGCCCCCAAAGCCCTAAACCCCCAAGCCCAAACTCTACTGTAAGCCCCGGCAGGCGCGTGCATCTCATCGGCAGTCGAAGCTCCGAAGCTCTCGCCCAGCAGCTGCAGAACGGGTCGGGAGCGCTTTGGGGGGGAAGAGTGTCAATTCCGGTTGTTCGGGGGTTCCCTACCAGTTGTATCGTAAGACAGAAGGAACTGATAATTTAGGCTTTGATCGGGCCGATTATTCTGAGCGAACCGTCGCATGCCGGTTGGGGCATGGTGGCAAGAAGATTTCCAGTTGCGGTAGCTTAGCTGCGGACTCCATAGTCGTCAAAGCAGCCCTGCCGCAACAGAATCAGAATACAGGCGCCATCGTCATGATGACAGCAAAGATGCACCTGGTGTGCGCAGAGATGAATTACTGGAGGCAAGACAGGCAAGCTCCCTTGGTTGACGTCCAAGTGGGAGGGCCATGTAGAGCATGCGGAGATCGGACAGCGTCTCCACGGGAGGCGCCTTCAATGGCGCCCGATGAAAGACAGTGTATTGGTTGTGCAGCGATGCAGAACGTACCTCGCACACCACTACAAGAACACGGCGGTCTTGTTGCCTTTGCTACATGCTGTTAACTGCAAAAATGTCGCAACAGTCTTGAATCCGCTGCCATGCAGCAGTTCAGCAGTTCAACCTGACTTGACTCAAGCTGCCGAATCAGACGGGGTATTTGGCTGTCGACGCAGCGCTGCTACAGTGCTACAAAGTTCAACATGTAGGGTTAGGCGTCACCGTTGTCGTTCCCAACCCCGGACAGGACCTCTGGCCCCTACCAGCATGTAGAGTTGGCAGGCTTAAGACAGTGTCGACTCGAGGGTTGGGCAGTTGCACGTCGCAAGTTCGCCCTTGCAGCAAGCAGCACCCAGAAAAGCTGCGCAAGCTGCTCAAAGCTCGAGGAGGGATGCTGTCAGCGACGGCCGACGGACCGGATGCCGCGTGGCGGGGTGCGGCCAAGGTCCGCGGCCTAGCTTGGCAGAAGCTGGGGATGCTCCACACCGATGTCTAGATTGGGTAGTCTGTCTGTCAGTAAGTCTGTCCGCGTGTGTTGGCTTGTTTGTGCGTGTTCTTGTCTGGTGCGTTGGGGGATTGTGGTATTTGGTTCAGGGTTTGATATTGAGCTCGCGTAGTGTCTTTGCTGATTGACTGCCTTTCCGAACAAGTCATTCTTTGCTGACATCATGCACTGGTTGGATTTTGTGTTTGCACTGGATCCCACAGCAGCACCTTCCCTCAATCTTGGGTGTTATTGCTATCGCGGCTGCCAGTGATGTTGCCGTTGCTCACATTCGTGCTGTGATTAGTTACGTTTCCTCACGCGAATCCTGCTAGTTTCGGTGGTTAAAGTGAGCATAGACGTTTAGGCGTCTTTCCGCCTTAATTAGCTACCATAGATTCATTTCCGTGGTTTTACCCTCACTGATATTTGTGCAGATACCTGTTTTTGCGTGGCACGACCCATTGCCATCTTCGCTTCTGCGAACGCTGGCTGGGTGCCCAAGGTGTGCCGGCACCCACAGCTGCAGAGCTTCTTGACCACCAGAGAGGAGATGCTTGGATTTACCGAGTCACGTTCTTCAGTTTCAGAGTTCTGGCCCTTTCGGCGCTTTGACTGTCTCGAGTCAGACCCTCTCTGGTTCTGCTGAGTTTCCTTGATGTTGGACTTCCGCAGATCACACGCAAGGCGTAGCCACTGCCATGCTGTGATTCAGTCGAGGTATCTGGAGCACGGCTGTTCTGCTGTTCATCGGAAGTGCCTCTGATGCGCCGTCGAATCGAGCGTTCCAGCGTCAAAGACGCAAACGACTCCGGAGCTGGTTGGAAATCGGAAATTTGGGTCTTTGAGACAGGGCGGCGACACACATGCAAGAACACGTGAACACACCAACAGATGAGAAGATGAGCTAAGAGAGCAGGCACTATACCCTGGTGAACACGTCCCTCCCACAGTAAAGATGAGAAGAGGAATCTGCCCTCCGCCTACGATTTATGTCACTCACATCACTCGGCCACTGTGCTCAAGCTGTCTCAGAGAGTCGTCCTCTTGGTCCCCCTAAAGCGTTGAGCCGTCGAGCAACATGTTCGGCCGGCTCTTGGTGATGGCTGTGGTAACAGCCATGGCATCTCGGACCTTTGAGCGAGACTAACTACAGACTAAAAACACATCAGTGGTAGTGCAATCACTGTGATTCGTATTTATTATTATTATTAGTAGTAGCAGTTGCAGTAGAGGTAGGAGTACGCGCAGCAGTAGCAGTAGCAGTAGCAGTAGCAGTAGCAGTAGCAGTAGCAGTAGCAGTAGCAGTAGCAGTAGCAGTAGCAGTAGCAGTAGTAGTAGTGTAGATGGCATGTAGTAGTAACTAGTAGTAGGTAGTACGTAGTCGTCGTCGTAGTAGTAGTAGTAGCAGCAGTATCAGAAGGAGGAGTAGTAGAGAAGTAGCAGTAGCAGCAGTAGTAGCAGCAGCAGCAGCAGGAGTAGTTCAAGCAGTGGTAGTGTAGGTGGTAGGTAGTAGGTAGTACATAGTAGTCGTCGTCGTGGTAGTAGTGGGTAGCAGAAGCAGCAGCAGCAGCCAGCAGCACCACTTGCAGCAGAAGTGCGAGTATTCGTGCAGCATGAAAGAAGAATAACTGTCTTTTATGCATGCCAGCATCGTGGCATAGTGGTTGGGAGTGCCAGTGCTACAGCCGGCGAGCCGCCAAGGCTGAGGAGGTCTTGGAAGCTTCGGATTGTGCAGCTTGGCATCTCGCGGCCTGCTAACCTAGAATATAACATAGTGATAACAATACAATACAATCTGACAAAATGATGTACCATACAATACAAACATAATGAAATGTAGGGTTATGTTGTAGTACACAGCAAAATGTAAGATGGTATGATACAGTATGGTATAACCTATTCTTCAGTTCTTGATATAGATATACACATACACTTACATGTAAATATAAAAAGTTAAGCGTGTAGCTGGTAGCAGTGTGGCAGGCGCTAGGGTGCACTGTTGTATGTTTCATTGGCTGATCGGATCATCGGTTTCCTATCAAGACGGCCTCTTGTTCGTGAGACCATCTGGCTGTCGATGCTAGCCTCTGGGCTACTTCCCCGACGGCTCTCGAGCACATGCATCCGCACATGCGGTGCCCTAGCTCTCCAATACAGGGAGCCATAAACCCTAAACCGTGGTATTTCCTAGGGTACGTCTCGTGTCCCAGCTTTCTTGCAGCTAGTCTCACCCGACGAAAGACAAGAAGCCTCGCCTGCATTGTCCCAGTGTGAGAGCCGAAACGACGGAGTCCCCGACGCTGAGCTCAGGACGCCGATGCAGCGTTGGAGCTGGCGCAGCTCAGGGCCAGGAAGCAAGAGACATCTTTGACGCTCGTCCGCCTCGGGATGGCCACAGCTTGGGTGAGATTCTGTAAGCGGATGTCGCTGCTCAGCTGTGCCCTTCTCTCCCATTTTGGTGTCTTTGATTGTGCTTGCATTTTCTACGTTTTGCCCTAGAAGATTCTTTTCGGGCCGGTGAAGTTTGCTCTGTTTGCAGATCATGGCCGGAGGCATGTTGCCCTTTCTATGTCTACAGGCATACAAGTCGCAAAAGATCTGGCTGCAGTGCTTCAAGCTGTGCTCTCGACGGTTTGTTGTGAAAGTTTCCTTGTAAAGCTGCAGGAACGAGATCGATGAGAGTGACCCTGACCATGAAACCTTCGAAAGCGGCAACGTCTCCGAGGAAGCGACTTAGCTCAAAGTTGGCTTCATCGTACCAGATGCAAAGCAAGCTTCTAGCAAGGCGATCGCACAGTTCCAACAGGAGTCGTACTTCCGTGAGTGGGTTGGAAGGAGTGGTCAGTAGAGCTGATGAATCTCTTTGGTGCCGCTCACTGCGCCGTCACGGTCCCACTGTCACTGTCGAACGAAACGAAGGTCGGAGGTAAACCGTACCACCTTGTGACCTCAAGGACTGTTTGGGGATTTTCTTGGCCGCCCAGCCGGACTACAACCAGACATATGAGCCTGAGCTGGAGTCAAGCAGCAGCTTGGGCCACAGCGGCCACATCAGAACTTTGCAGCATGGCAGAAGCAGTGCAAGTCATGGGGCGTGGTGTAAGCCACACAACCACAAGCCTTCGTGACGAGCGCTCAGCGTTGCTGTTGTCGTCGTCTTTGTTGTTGTGGTGGTAGCTGCTGGCGTCTGTGTTTGTACTGTCGTTGTTATTGGTGCTGGTCATGCTATCTTTGCCCAAGCTGACATGGCTATTCTGAGTAGCGGGTAGAGCTATTTTGATAGGCTCTTGAATTATTGCGCGTGCTGTTGCCAGTGTTATTTTTGTTGCGTACCGGCATACACTCAATGTCAATGTCCATTTTGGATCCAGAGTGTTTGTGCGATGTAAACGATCGTGTGCTGTATCGGATGTTTGTCCTCGATTCGTCCGTGTCACATCGTTTTGATGATCATCACTATCACCAGCAGCACTAGCAGTACCCACAGAAGCAGCGGCAGTAGTGGTAGTTGTAGTGTAGTAGTCGTTGTCGTTGTGACAGTGGTAGCTTTAGCAGTTTTAGCATCAGCATTAGTACAAGCAGTAGCAGCTGCAGGAGTCGCAGAAGTAGTAGGAGTAGTAGGTCGCAGCAGTGGTAGCAGTACAAGTAGCAGTAGCAGAAGTAGTAGTAGTGGTAGTGGTAGTAGTAGTAGTAGTAGTAGTAGTAGCAGCAACAGCAGCAGCAACAGGAGTAGTAGTAGGAGTAGTAGTAGTAGTAGTAGTAGTAGTAGTAGTAGTAGTACTAGTGTAGTAGTAGCAGTAGCAGTAGCAGTAGCAGTAGCAGTAGCAGTAGCAGTAGCAGTAGCAGTAGCAGTAGCAGTAGTAGTAGTAGTAGTAGTAGCAGTAGTTGCAGTAGTAGTCGGTAGTAGTAGTAGTAGTAGTAGTAGTAGTAGTAGTAGTAGTAGGTAGTCGTAGGTAGTAGTAGTAGGTAGTAGTAGGTAATAGTAGGTAGTAGTAGGTAGTAGTAGGTAGTAGTAGGTAGTAGTCGGTAGTAGTCGGTAGTAGTCGATAGCAGTCGATAGTAGTCGGTAGTAGTAGGTAGTAGTAGGTAGTAGTAGGTAGTAGTAGGTAGTAGTAGGCAGTAGTGGGCAGTAGTAGGTAGTGGTAGGTAGTAGAAGGTAGTAGTAGGTAGTAGTAGATAGTAGTGGCAGGAGTAGTAGCAGTAGTAGTAGAAGTAGTAGGAGTAGGAGTAGTAGTAGTAGTAGTAGTAGTAGTAGCAAGAAGTAGCACGTAGTAGGTAGTAGTAGCTAGTAGTCGCTAAGCAGTGCTAGTTGTAGCTAGTTGCAGCTAGTCGTAGCTAGTAGTAGTAGTCGTCGTAGTAGTAGTAGTAGTAGCAGTAGTAGTAGTCACAGTAGCAGCAGTAGAAGCAGAAGTAGTAGTAGTAGTAGTAGTAGTAATAGTAGTAGTACTAGTACTAGTACTAGTACTAGTAGTAGCAGTAGCAGCAGCAGTAATAGGAACGGCAGCAGCAGCAGCAGCACCAACACCAGCTTCGGTACTAGCTTGTAGAATTGTAGAAGTTGAACTATCACCAGATTTCGCAGCAAAACAACGTTCACATTAATCGGACATTTCTGCATTTTCACGAAGACACATGAAACTGCGCACACTACACAAGTAGCAGCACATCCAAAAAAGCAGCCGCCATGGAGCGCACAAGCTTTGCCGGTGCTACGTATGAAGTTATGATAAGCAATGAAGTACTACCGGTGTTGTATTTAGCAGCACGCTGCCTTTATGATTGATGTCCGAGGTATCACCAAACCAGCAGGTCTGCAGGACCCCAGATCTTGCGCGGCGGCTTCCGTGACCTGGAGATGATAGAATTCCGGCCAGGCTTCGTTTCACAGACTGCAGGTTCTGGGGCTTTTGATGTGAGCTTCGTGATGGTTTAAGACGGCCCGTCGACGGCAAACCAGCATCCAAGCCAATGTCAACTTGGAGCGGAGAGAGGCAGCAAAAGCAGTATATCGTGCTTCACCTGTTCATGCCGCTCGTATGGGTTCGCGGTAGTAACTTCCTGCATAACATGTATACGTCAGCTGATATAGTTCAGAAACTACCGGGCTGTTTAAGATCAGATGCCTGGTGATTTGGGAATTCGGATCGAAGCAAAGGACGTGGGCATATTGGATGGTGTGGTGGCGGCATCTATTTTGCCTTGAGCGCTGGGGCCACTTACCACAAAGCTGTTGGAACCTTGGAGGATATCGTCCCCAATGCTTCTCTTCCGGGCTTTGCAGATAAGATGGAAGGCTCAGGAGGCTTGTTGTTCCCCTGCACTTCTGACTCCTCATGGCAGTGGGCCACAAGTTCTCATCCGTCTCATCCCAAGGCCACCCTCTCTGCACATGTTGCGATTGACGCCTGGAGCTCAGGAGTGGACTCGGCCCATGGCTTCATCATTGAAGCAAGAGTCGACCTCGGCCGCACCAAGCACATGCCCGCCCAGTGCGACTCGAAGAATGCTTAGTTGAAGCACCGACAGAGAAGACAACGAAATCAACACCAACATGACGATGGATTTTCATTCCGGACAGCCGTGCCACGCATCTGTTCAGGGCGCGGTGATATGAACCATCTTGGCAGTAGCAGCCAAGGCTGAACTAGGAGCAACACACCAAGAGCAAAGCTTCGGATCGCAGCGAGGCATCTCTGCGCAACCTGAGAAATTGTCAAACTGCCTGCCTGCACAGTGACAGTTCAGCAAGCCATACTCGGTAAACTCCAGAAGCATCGGTAGTAGGATGCAGTACTGCGTTGCAGCGTAAAGAAGCATCTAGCTGTGCAGTAGACATCCCGCGGGTGCCCACGTCCTGCAGCTTTGCACCGGCCAGATAATACCGTAGCATACCGTACTGTATAGCATGTGTAACGTATGCGGGACACACACGGGTTCGTCGAAGGTTTTGAAATTTAAAACACAGTGCTGGATGGAACTATTTTGTGGGATCTCGCATCATGACAAGATGAAAACGGTAGACAGTGAGATGGAGAGCAATCACAACAAGCAACAAGCACGATTCTGCTCTGAAATGGTTCGCGGATACTCTGGCCACTCACAAGCTCGGTGAAGACCGCAGTGCTGTCCCTGCCGTGCCAAGTGGGTGACACAAACTCACAAGCTCGGTGACTTCTGCCGCGCCACGTGCCAAAGGAAGCAAGGTGGTTATCTCCGACCAGTCCAGCCCAGAAACTGAACACTTGTTGAGATGCACGAGAAAGTTCTTTGGCTAGTTGAAAACTTAAGCCCGAGGGCAATGCATTCTGTCGGTCGGCCCCATCAGCAGCCGCGTTTTCTCGCACACTCGTACACCTGAGTTGCCAGCTGGAGTAGTCTAGCGTTCGGCAGTCGTTCGGCCATCACAGATTTGCCTTTGCGAAGCTTTTTGCCCGCAAGCACCGGTGCCCGAGGCACTTCCTCTCGAAGATGCTGGGGCATCCCACTCCAGAATGCCATCCGCTGCATCGACCATTCTTACCAGGGAGGCGAGGACAAACCTTCTGCAATGACACCTATCCTAACCTCAAATCCTGCTACGTAGGAATGCCCCAACTCCGTATCTGGCAGCACAGGGGAGATTGTCCAACCTGGTCCGGAAGGTTCTTGCAGCCGCTGTTTGTTGGTGTGTGTGTGTGTGCGGGGCTGTAAGTTTTCCTCTGATTTCTTGAAAGAACCATGCTGTGCATTGCAACTCATGTACGACTGTTGGCAAAAGCTCGGAATTACTGTTATGATTCCAAATATATCGTAACTACGCTTGCTATTTCTGTTTGCATTGCTTTGCGGAGCCCAGGAGGGAAGCCTAAGAGACAAGGGTTCATGTTGTAAGTTGTTCGTGATCCACAGGACCAGGAGTAGAACTGTAGATTTGCGCATCTATCTTCGAGGGCTGCAAAACCTCAAAGTTGTGCAGACATGAAGACGAGTAAAGGATTTCTGCTTCAAAATGGCCCTCTGCTCTTCCAGGCCATTTCCAGGGGCAAGGATGCTTGGCTGCGCCACAGGGGAAATTGTACGCGAATCGGGTTGAGAAGTAGCTTTGCCATTGGTGCTCCTTATCACGGACTACTTGCATGCGATACTGAAAATGAGAACATGATCTCCTGTCAGTGCATTGAGATAGGGGCTGGGGAGGAGAGGAGGTGGAGGTGTTGCTTGATGTGCAGCACGTGGTAGAAGGTGTTCTTGAACATGTTGGTATGTCCGCGCAGATGGGTGCATCGAGCCATGAAGTCGGTGCAAGCCTCACCGTTCCGAGGATATAACTCGATCTATTTCAACCCCGGCGATGGCGGAGAGTACGTGATCTGGGATCCCCGCCGGGTGATTTCCATGCGACGAGTTCGCTAAGTGCGGACTACTTTCGTGGGGAGCTGTGGCCGAAGGTCTACACTCCACGCGGAAGCTCCCGGGCCGCACTCAGCCGAATTAGGCAGAGTAGCGGTCCGAAGACTTTGTTTTACAGGAACTGATATCAAGCATCAGCCAACGCCTGCCCCAATGCTAAATTAAGGGTCGAAGCGAGATAACTAACATGGTCAAAAAAAAATCGTATCCATTTATTCCCAAAATTATACTCAATCAACCTCCAACAGAATTAATAATATGGTATAAGAAATTAAATAATCTTTAATCTTCATATTTCAAGCATTTGGATAATTGAAATATCATTTTCAACCTAAACATGTAAAGATAAATATTTGCAAATATCTAGAAATTAAAGAAATAATTTGCTATTCAGATCGAAGAATATATGCGCATATCTTCAAATATTCAATTATATATATAAGGATATAAGATCATATTGGTGAAATCTTTGATGAATATTATATATATATATATTTAGAATTTATAGTATAATTTTTTTAATATATTAAGAATTTATGAATATTTTTCTTTTTGATAGATTCTGTTGATAATACTAGGAGGGCGATAAATGATATCTCGGTCGCTTGAAAAGTACAAGTCTTTTTAACCGCGAAGGGCGAGCATAAATTATAATCAAGATATATTCTTAAGCTTGAATTAAGAGGGCAGAGCAACTACAGCGTAGGGGGGGAGGGTTGGGGTTTGCTTGAAAGGCAGCTATAGCTTTCTTGCTTTTAGAAGATTTAGAATCTGCTGTTGAAGTCTCTGAAATAATTTCTTGAGTCTTGAAGTCCGTAGCCGAGGCTTCGTCTCGAAACCACTAGGATCTAAAAGTCATTATATTGAATCATAATCTTCAAAATTTTCATATATGTGTGCACATCTAAGGATTGCACAAAGATGAAATCTAAATGATTTGAATCATTAAAAATAAAATAGATTCATAGAATATATCTTATTTTGAGAATAATTTACAGATATATATTTTCATTTTTATCATGATTCTATCATAGATATATAATATTCAGAATATGAATTTCTCAACTTCTTTATTTTATTTTGATATTCCTCAATTTTAGATAAGAGAATAAAAATATAGAATAGATATTGATACTTTCATTTTTCCTTTTTTGAAAAAAGAAAAATATCGATATCGCATTTTAGGATTTCTGAGATGATCTTAAATATTTTTTGGTATTTATACGGAATTCTTCGGGGATGAAAATATATATTGATAGAATATTAAAATCATAAAAGAATGATTATAAAGATTGAAGATATAGAAATTAATAAATAAATTTTCCAATTTTTATATTTAAAAATAAATTTTAAAATTAAATCATCGAGAATTACAAAAATTTATGATTTTTTCTTCCACGATATATTTTCAATAATTCGATATAAATATAGGTTCATATATATATATATATATCGAAAAATCTTCTGCTTTATATGAAAGCCATAATTATCTTGAATCAGAATTATTATATTTTTATTTCCAGAATCTTTTATTTCTCCCTTATCATAAAGAAATATTTAAATATAATATTGATTTGAATATATAATGGAAATTATTATGATATGAATTATTATAGAAATTTAGTAATTACTATGATCCGAAATCATATTTTTCCGAGATTTCTAGAATTTCGTTCAGCACGAAGCCCCGAAATATAAAAGATATTGATATTTAATGCTAGAAAATATATTTAGAATAAAAAAATTTCAAAATCTTATTTATATATTATTCTAAAGATTCGCCTCTAATTCAAAAAGGCTATCGACCCCTCTTTTCAGATTAGAGATATATATATCTCTTGCCCCAGAATAATATTATAGATTAATAAAATTTCTTTAAATGAATTCAATCTGATAAATAATTTATTGATTTCAATTATAATTTGATTAATAATATAATCCGGCATCCGTACGATTTACTATTGAATTCTAATTCAAGATAATTATGAATATCATATAAATATCACTAGAATAATAAGTGAAGGCGTATATATCGCAGGTATAGAACAGCGGGCGAGAATGGGTCGGAAGAGAATATTTTGGGAATTTAAAAAGAGTGTCGTAAGAGAGCCGACATTTCATTCGTAGAAGAGAGAACATATCGAGGAGATTGTCGAATTATGGGTGGGAAATATTATAGAGTAAAAAAAGAATGAGCGCAATATAAGAAAAATATTATAGAATTACGGGTGAGGGCGTATAGTTGAAAATAGATCGAAATAAACAAATGGCCATAGAGGAGATATATATGATATAATAATTAATTAATATAATTAGAAAGAAGAGATGAAGAATTCGTATAAATAATTAGAGATAATTTTAAGCATAGAATATTAGAAAAAAATTAAAATGAAAATCTTCAAATAAGAAATGAGAATAAAATAATTATCGAATAAAAGATAATAAATTCTAATTAGAAAAATTAGACTATTCAAATTTTTCATATAAGTAGGAAATAGAAAAATAATTCGTTCTTTCTAATGAGCAATAAATCAAGATAAAAATAAATCTATATTTATCAGAAAATATTCAATAAATCAAGAATAAATCGATAAAATTATTCAGAAAATATTTTTTATTTTATTCTTTAAAATACAGATAATCTTTTTTGTTCATATAATTTTAAGAAAGTATTCCTAATATTCTTTTTTTTTTATTATATATGAAAGAATTTCTAAAAAATATTCAAAGAAAATATAGATAGATAAAATAATAAAAAAATTTAAATATATATATATAGGTCAATTGCATATGAGATTTTACTCACACTCTTTATATGAAGGCATCCCCTCCACTTCAATAGGCAGGCAACCATCGATTCGCAGAGGTCAACGAAATCACACTAAAGGTTACTATACGGGTTACTAGAGGGTTCCATAAGGGTTCTATGATATGAACCTGGACTCTGTCGAGGCTTGTTTTCTCATGCAGACGCGTCATGTTCCTGGCAGCACAGACTGGAGCACATCAAATCAAAGAGGTGCAGATGACTTTCGTCTTCAATTCCACTATCTGCACCAGATAGCCACGCATCGCTAGCTGATGCTTGCGGTTTGTTCTGTGAACTTCGTGTGCAATCACTAGTAATTAGCCTCATAATTGAGATCAGCACTCTCCTTGTGGTGCAAAGAGTCGTGCACCAGGGCGTGAACAAGGTGGAGCCTGATTTTGTAGAAGTGCCTGTGGTTGAGCATGAGATCCTTCGGAGCTGTTGCAGTCGGAGCTGAATGTCTCCAGCCGGGGGGTCTAGAAACAAGGATAATCTAGGGGCCTTAGTAATGATAATGGGGTTTTCGGGCCCATGATACTGTGGTCATAATAAGGAGCCCCCAAAATAGTGTTGGTAACTATTGAGGGCCCTACATTAATCCTACAAGACTCACCTTTGAGGTTGTATGTGAAACAAGCCAAAGCAAGCGGTGCGGGATGCTGAAGATCGTTTAACAGATCCTCCCGTGCCCCTCCATCCATCACCGCAAGCTTTGTGGTGACACGCTAATTTGCCAGCATGAAGAAGAGACCATCGAGCAACAACACTGCAAGACAGATCTTGAAACAGCTTTGCCTTAAGCTTACCCTAAACCCTAAACCCTAAACCCTAAAACCAGGGTGAAACACACCGAAGTGCCTCAGCCGTAGAGCTTCAGCATGAGGAAGTAGATGATGATTACCATGCCTAGGACCTCAACGAGCCGATGACTACGCCATCCGCGGCGGCACGCGCTCAGCACCGTCTCCGGCAGGATGGAGGCTAACGTTCTTTTGGAATAGCACTGTAACTCCTGCATCTATGCATCGAGGCAGGTAAACTAGTCCATAGCTGCTTGGGTCCCAACGCTGCCAGACACTGCTCCCACCACCTCAGCATGTGAGGAATCGCAATCGTGAGATCCTGCCAAACGCGCCGCCACAGAGCGAACAGCACTTTAACCTCAACCACGAGATGAAATGCCAATCCGAAACCTCTATAGTCTCAAATCCTAAGCCTTACGTGCTGCACCACCGAAGCTAGCCCCAAAACCCCAAAGCCTAAAACACAATCTATTACCCAAATCAACAAGAAGACTTACTTCCCCAACAAGCCCGGGAAATTAAAAGGTTAAACTTTCAGATTACTACTAAACTGTTCAACAGCTGGGTATTGGGAAACTACCCATAGGCCCCATAGTAGTTCCTTTTTGGGGTTCATATTTAGAATCCTATAAGGTAATCCCAGAAAGGAACTACTATGGGGCCTCTGGGCAAGAAGACTTCTCCGAGGCCCAAGGCCCTCAAAGTTCGATCCGAGGCAGCTTGCCGGATGACCTGCGCGATGCGCCGCAAAGCACAGGTTCACAGAAGGGTTTACCGAAGATATACTAGAAGGGTATAGAAGGGATACTAGAGAATATCATGCTAAGTTTTACTAGAAGGGTTACTGTAATGGATGTTATCAAGGTTTAGTTTAGCATCCTTGTGATTAGAATAGGGTTTGGGGCTTATCTAGTATTTATATCGGCCACCATGTTCTTACTGTTGCACGAACACGCGCAAACGTTGTTGAGTCACAGAAAGCAGGCAGAGCTTGGGGCAACATCGCATGACCACACCTACACACCAGGCAACATGCTCCGACACGTGTAGGACAGCACCTGCTTCATGGACAGCATCATGCAACAAGACTTCAGAGGTTTGTGGGGTCCGTGTGACGACGTGTGTCCATTGCAGTGGAAACGATGAGTGACAGCGATTGGGTTTCTCGCGATTCTGTGCGCGTGTGTGTGTGTGTACACGTATGTGTCTGTGTGCGTATGTGTGTGTGTGCGCGTGTGCTCGCATCTCACTGACCCCTTCGCGTTGCTTCGACTCTCTCACCTATTCTCAAGCAGGTTAGATTTGGTCTGGGGGTGTTTCGGACTTTTGGTTGTTGCTCTCTTGCTTCTGCTATATTCTGTCTTTCGGCGTGTTGTGTTTGGGGTATCGGGCTAAAGGTGGTAGCTTTGAGTTGTGGGGTCAAGGCCAAATGGATGTGGGAAAGACTTGGGAGCAGGTCTTTCGGGTAATTTGCCAGGGTCCCGTTGAAACGTCGTGGTTTCAGGTGTTGGGTTCACTTCCAATAACCTTCACCACACCCAAACCCTAAATTCCAAGCCCTTAACTCCCTAAACCCTGACCCCTGTCCTAGAGACTCCACAACCCCTCAATTAAGGAATATACCTTAAATTATAATAGGATCCCTAATATGATTTAAGGTATATTCCTTAATTAAAGGGTTTCGGAGTCCCTGGGTTTGCATCCGCCTCCCAGTCCGTGCGCATGATGAGACCGGCCTCGGAGGTTTCATCTGCTTTTTCCACCAAAGCCCTAATGGGGTTTCGGGTTTAGGGTTTAGGGATCCCTTCACCCGAAAGCCAACATACCACAAACACCAAACCCAAGGAACACGTTGGATGCCAAATAATATTGCGGCCTCAAAGCCTCACCGCAGGGGGCTTTGGGAACTCTTGAGGTGTCAGGCAGCTGGGGCTTCGGAAGAGGGTGTAGTGCCCTGCTTTGCGAGACCTGTGAAGATTCTACCCGGAGTCCTTGAATTATAGGAATGTTTGTTTTTTGTTTGGGGGGGGGAGGTATTTTCGTAGAATCATAGAGGGACTAGTATGTGGTTGCATCACAGTTATTCAGGCCTCCAAATTGGGTGTGCAGGATTTAGGATACGGCTATCGTGGAGAAACACAGCTGGTCTTCCGAAGTTCGGAGGAGTTTCTGTGAAGCAACCGTCCAGGGTTTAGGGTGCTGGTCAAACTGACATAATATCGGGGCCTTAATAATTAGAATAGGGTTGGGGTATATTATACCATAATTATAATACGGAGCCCGCAAAACCCTATTCAAATTATTCAGCTCCTACATTAGGGTCCATGGTTCTAGCCTTGTTGACTTTAGGGCTTCAGGGTCAAGGGATTTGGTCTTGCTGGCTTTGGGTTCTCAGGGCCTGGGTCTTCTGGTTTGAGGGTTAAGGGCTTTAGGGGCTAAAGGATTATAGGCTTTCGGGGTTCAGGGCTTGGGAGCTTAACTCAGTTGGGACTGTCGGGGAAGCTCTTCCGTGAGGTCTTCACCAGTGCACTGAGTGCACAGCATAGGCCATGCGGTGACTTCCCGTGGTCGATTCGGCTACGACGTTGAAGACATACCTGTCCAGGGTTTACGGTTTAGGGTTTCTTGTCATTGTAGCAGGGATGTGATGCTTTCAGGAGATAAGCTTTCAGGCGCGATTCTCACTACGTAGTTAACTCTGCAAAGCATGCTCGCCTCTTGTCGGTGAGAACTCCATCGATCGTAACGTTGCACTTGCCATTGCTGCACTGGTCGGCTGGTACCTCGCAGAGGCATGCCCGTCAGTGAAGACCCCGAAGCCGCAGCGAGAGCCGAGCTCTGGGATGCCGGCGATGGTGTATTGGCGGTCCGTGTTGTTTTGCAGGCCACAGACCTTCGCAATCCCCTCTCTTCGACCCTCACTACTTCGTGGTTTAGAACTGGCAAGGGCCGATGAGGGTGAACAAGTCGACAGATACTGGTACTTCTAGTATAGTATACTACATATTATACTATCTGTATGATGTGACTCTTTGCACTGTTGAGAGGCCTGGGCTGGAGCTTGGGGGGTGGCCGAGCAGCAGCAGCCCCAAAGTCCCCTTCAAGCTCATCCACAGCAAGGCTTCCTTCTGAGTCGGCGGCAGTGTTCATGATCTTGTCTGGCCGCAGAAAAACAGCCATGTTGGTTCGGTTGTCCTGCCAATACCACTGTAAACATTTCCAAGCTCTCTAAAGTTAAGATGGCCCTCGAAAGCATGTGTCATATGGGTAGTTCTCTAAATTAGGCTCCCTTTTTTAGGTCCCCCCCATAATACGGCACGCTCATCCCTAATTTAGGAACTACCCATATGACGTGTGCACCTGATCCGGGCCACTGAAGCGTGGAGCGCTCGGCCATGTCCCTAAGGCCCCCACCGACTCGAGAAGCATGGAGGAATAGACCCAGTACTGCCTTGCCTCCGCCACGCCTGCGACTTGCAAAAACCAAGGATGCATGAAATAGAGCATCCCTTGCTACAGTAACTCTTCTAGAACCCCTTACAATAACTTTTTTATAGACACCCTCCTCTAGGGAAAGGTGGCGAAGCCTTCGGCGTTCCCGTCGGGAAGCTCCCTAGCGCAACGAGAGCTTCTCTCCGAGTGCATGGCCGGATCGTGTCTGCTGGAAAGTTTCGGAAACGACAAAAGCTGGGCGATGCGATTTTTGGGTCGTGTATCGCCGTCTTGGTGCCTGACTGTGGTCCTTTCTTGGACTCTTGCGTCTTTACTGACTCTACTAAAGCTACAAATCAAAGGAAGAACCCTATGGTTTACACAATTCCACACGGTACTACCAGGGCCCTACGCAGGAATACGCAGGCCCTGCACAAACCCCAAACCACGAAGTAAGACCATTTACGAGCACTTCTATTCCCCCTTGAAGGCGCTAAAGCTGCCTTCTGGGATGAATCCGGCAGCATCCCAGGACAGCTGCACCTGGAGCTCCGACAGCTGCCTGCACAAATTCTGAAGAGCTTTATCGGACCCTTTTCGTTGTTGTTTAGGGCAGCATCGGGTGATTTTGCAGGTTAAGGGTTCATAGGCCGTCGTTTAGGGATGATCGAGACCATGTGAAAGTCAGATGCTGGCGGAATCTCAGTCTCGAGGTTCGTTGTTCACCCTCAACGGCCCCCGAAACCCCAAACCCCAAAAGCCTCAAGGCACTGAGAGGGAGCCATAAATCCAGAAAGGACAAGCCTCGGAAACCCCAGGCTTAGGGCGTCTCCTGGCAGTCAGCCGTCCGTTTGAACCGGGACGGGGGAAGCGGCCAATGTCTGCGAGGATCGTGAGCGTATAGGCCTCAGGCGACACTACTTTAGGGCTTGCGGGTTTCGGGCTTCAGGGCGCCTGGGGTTCAGGTTTGAGGGAGTTGAAGCCTTGTAACGCTCAGTCGTAGCGGGATTGATGTGAAGACCTGCGAGGTCATCGTCGAAACTCAGTGACTCATCTCGTGGCCGCCTACCGGCTGCACGTGTCGAAATGTCCCAGCCACGACGAAGAAGCTGCTACGGACTCAAAAGTCAAACACATGCGTGTCCTATCCAAGAGCCCGTGTCTCCCTAGGGAATCAAGCCAGCCGTCAGGTCATGACTCAGTCTTGATGCAGATTTGTTTCGCCAAGTCTCAGAGTTGTCCGGAGAGTAAACTGCAATGAAGTGCCTGGCATGGACCACAGGCAGCAGTTGGCTCTTCTGCTTCGGTTTCTAGCTATTGCTGTCTGTGTGGATGATACAGCACAATCTCGGTGGCAACTGTGGTTTCGCCGCAGTCGTGCTGCTGCTGCTGCTGCTGATGCTGATGAGAAGCGCCGATGGTAGTGCCGCTAATGACGCTGTTGATGATGATGATGATGATGATGATGATGATGATGACGATGATCAATGTGGAGGCGTATGGTGATCGTGACGAAAAGCGATAGCGGCGACGATGCCATCATCAAGCCTACTTACCTGATTATGCTGTAGTGGTTCCCGACGCAGTTCAGGAGCACGCGCTGGCTGCCAGCTTACCGGCTTCAGCAACCGGGGCACGCCGCCGTTTATTGTTTCCGTGTCCTTGCTTACTGGCGATTCTTCCGCGGGCTCGCCTGGCTGCACTGTGAGGGACTGTACAGACACATCGCACCAGATATCACCAGATTCCGCAGAAAGCCGCTTCTACGCCCCTGCCCCTCTCCCTGCCTGGCATCTTACCCTTAAAGCCCCCTGCAGGGCTAGGAAACAGGAGCTTCACTTCTTCGTGGCCCTGGTGAGCTGCGCAGTGAAGAGCCGTGCAGCCTGCTCGGTCCTTGATGTGGGCCAGGGCTCCGGCCTGGAGCAACGCCCCAGTCGCTTCCACGTGCCCATGTGTGGCCGCGTGGTGAAGAGGTGTTTGTCCCTTCCTGTCCCTGACGTTCGGGTCGAACCTCGCCTCTAGAATCCTGCGCACCGATTCCACGCAGCCCCGGCAAGCTGCGTGGTGCAGAGGTTCGGCTTCCGAAAGGTCTCGACGAACTTCCTCTGGGCTCCCGAAGAACAGAAGCCAGCGCAAGACTTCCATGTGGCCAGCATGCAAAGCATCTTCAAAAGCCGTACGGCCGTCGACCCGGGCATTTGGATCAGCCCTGGCCTCCAAGAGTATCTGAAGAACTTCGACATGCTTCTTCTGACACGCAGCTCGAAGAGCCATGGTCATGGGGAAGGCCCCGGCCTCCAAGAGCAAGTGCGCCACTTCGATATGGTTTCCTTCGGCAGCCAGCTGCAGAGCAATTGGGTTCACATTCGGGTGCACAGGTTGCTGTAGCAACTTCTCAACTCGACCAACTTTGCCACTCTCTGCAGCTTTCAAGAGGGTTTTTGACGCTTGTCTTTGCTCGACGAAGGGTACAATATACATCTGAATGCACATGCCTGCATGCACTGTGCTAGCATCGTCCAGAACGACCCCATGAGGATCATGCACTAGCATCATCCTCTGCTGGAATCTCGATGGAAGCCCCTTCTGATGCAACTGCTGTTTGGGCTCTCTCACGTTGCTGACATCCTCTGCCCGCACCAGCATTTCTCCCGAAAGCATCCAGATGCGTACCCACTCTTCATGCTTCGAAGCCTCAGGAGTGGATTCATCTGTCTTCGAGGTCTCGAAGCACATTGCGTCGGGGAGCATGGCACGATGCCTTTTGCCCCAAATCCTGGAAAACCTCTACTTGGAGGATCATGGGACTTAGTAAGTAAGGTTATAAGTCCCTTAATTGGGGTTATAAGTATAGTTACCACGATCCTTTAAGTAGATTCGACGGTGCGGAGCACTTCTGGGCCGAGCCTGAGCCAAAATGGCTCATCAGGGCGAAGATGAGCAGCATGAGGTGGTTAGTGCAAGGGTCTCATCGCTTCCACCTTCAGAGGGTTTCAGAGGTCTCACCGAAATCCGAAAAACCGCTGTCAGCTTTGAACCCTAAAGTTCCTAGAATCGTGTCCGGATGGCTTTGTGGAGGACAGCGGCACTTCAAAAAAGGTTGGAGATCCGTCCCGGCTTCCATCAATTTCAGACCTCAGCTGGTTTTTGGTGCACGGGGCTTAGGGCTCAGGGTGAAGAGCTTGAGGTGTAGGGGTTTAGGGGAGCTGCACGTGCGCTGCGGGCTCCAGAGCCTTCAACACGGCTTGAGTGGTTCATCTGACTCTCACACAGCGGCCAGCTTTGGCATGGTCGCTGATAAATCATTACAGATACGATTGTAGTTCTTATCGTCGCATGTTGTGGTATGCTGTCTTTGGTTTCGCAGCTCGAAGTTGTTAAGGTTCCTGTCGTGACTATAGCTGTTACAATGACCAGTGCTGCTTAGTTGTTGGCATCATTTTTGGGTCTCGGCCCGCTGTGCAGGGCGACGGCTTGGCTCCAGGCAAGAAGTGTGTCCATTTGCACAGGGCGGCCTTGGCAAAGGAACGTACATAGCATAGTATAGTATAGTATAGTCTAGTCTAGTATTGTAGAGTCTGGGGTCCTGTACGTTTCTCTTTGTGCATGCTTCCAAGCCGCAGTCGAAGCAGTATCCGCTTATCTACACGTGATAAATGGACGATACATTTAATCTTGACAGCAAACGCTGCTTGTTGGTGCTTAGCTGTTCTTCACCCCTGTCATGGGTACGACGCAGAGGACAGGGGAAGCCACCAGAGCCGAAGAATGCCACAGGCAAGCAGTGGACGGGACGAGATGTGCAAGGCTCGTTGCAAGTACTGTGACTTCTGTCCAGGTTGGCAGGCCTGTAAGCCGGCATTGGGAGCTTCATTCAAACTCGTTTTTCCCGGATGGGACTGGCGCAATCGAGTACCCATGCTCGGGAGAGTCGACATCTGGGGCTGGCCGGCTAGTGTAAGCACGACAACACAAAGTCCTCGACATGACGTCCAGGTGCGACGAAAATGCCAATAATCGCTAACTACTGTATTTTCCGATACAGCACTAAGAAACTCCTTAAAATGTTGATCCCTCATGTCAACAAGCGGAACTGCGAAACGACAACGACTGCAGCAAACAGAGCCGTCAGCCTACAGCCTGAAGACGTCGCAACCCAGCAGCCCTAAACCCTCTCTCCTGAGTAACACCCCCAGATCCCCAAGCCCCAAACCCCACTTGGAGGTTCATGGGTAGTTATAAGTGGGGTTATAAGTTCCCTAATATGGGTTATAAGTATAGTTACCCTACTTATAACCCCACTTATAACTACCCATGAACCTCCAAGCAGTGAGTCTGAGTCCTCCGACATCCCTCCTCTCAAATCCGGGCCGTGTATCGATGCAGCCTCGGCTCAGGAAAAGGGAAAGAGGAGTCGAATATGTACTAGACTATTTTATGCGATGGTATGCCATAATATACCATACTGTGCGATACTGTACTATACTATACTATACTAGACCATGCCGCAACATACTATGGTATGCCATGGTGCTTTCGAGTACGACTTCGCTGTCCTGGTCATCACTGTCGCTTTCACTTGGGTCGTGGTGGTCGTGGTGGGGCAGCGGTGGTGTGTTTGTTTGTCTTTGTCGCACTACTTTTGCTGCAAGGCTTTGGTGTGGTCGTCGTCACCGCCTTTGTCATCACCTTCTTCTCATGTTAGCAATCAACAGCATCGTCAGCACCATCGAATACAGGCTAACACCACAATCATCATTGTTGTCGTCATCACCACGGCCATCTATGATACCAGTCTTATCACGGATAATTGCTACCATGTCTTAGACAGCCTCGCTACATCAAGCATTACCCTCATCATCCTTGCTATCGGGGCGGTAATAGCATGATAACAGCTAGTTTTACCACAACCATACTGGTTAACACTTTAATCACTTTACAACAATTCCAAGGTCGCCGCTGTAGGGGTTCGGATAACATCTCCGTGTCTTGCGGACCTCGGTCGCGAAAATGGCGCTTAAGTGGCATGTTCCTGGCTGTTTCAGCTTCATGGAAGCCTAAACGGACTTCCTCTGTGAAAGCAAAGCAAGGCAAGTCAGAAAAACGACCAAGTTAGAGAACCGAACAAGCACATCAACAGAGCTCCGGGCGAAAAGATACACCACTCCACGGCATGGCTCAAGGTTGATGATCACCTGCAACCGCTCGGTGCTTCTCCTTACTGGTACGTACTGTAGGGGCGCAGGGTCTGAGCCCTTGGAAGCGTCTTTTCACTTACGAATACAGCTCTGGCAGCGATGGGAAGCTTCTCAGCGTGGCTGAAGTGTTTGGGACAGAGAGCATGTTTTTGCTGGCGTGCGTATCTTCTATATCTTGGACTCTTGGCTTGGTGAAGGAGCGAGTGAATGGAAACGTCTCCTATTGAACCTGCAGTTTGCCGCAAACGTCATCGCTGGGCTTGCTTAAGCTACCCGTCGCACAACATAGGCGCCTCAATAATTACCCACACTATTTTGGGGGTTCCTTGTTATGATTCTAGTATAATAAACCCCAAAACCAAATTCTAATTAGTAAGGCCCCCATATTATGCAGATCCCAACCCTCTTTCCACTTCTTTACCCCCTGGAGCCTGGAGCCCAAGAGCTCCAACCTCAAAGCCTCAAGCTCGCGGTGCTTGAACTCACCCTAAACCTGAACCCTCGATACTAAAAGCTAGAACTAGAGCCCTAAACCCCCTAAGCCTATGCCCTTCATTGAACTACTAGATCAAAACCGGATCTGCCCAGCTGCAGCTCCCACCTTGCGGTACTGGTCCGGCTGGTTCCTTGGCTTCCAGAGCCATGCAGGCTGCTCTCATCTACAGCAAATGGCATCGGTGTAGTATAGCATAATGTAGGGGCCTGAATAATTAGATTAGGGCTCTGGGGTATATTATACTATACTTATAACAAGGAACCCCCAAACAGAGTAGAGGTAATGAACCACGGCCCTACATTACGTATGTAACGCTGAGCTCAGAGCATGGTAATCACATCCTCGTTCTTGTAGAACCACCTCTGCACAGAGCAAGATCATCCTTCGAACGCGAGCTCCGGAGACTGGATCGTACCCTAAACCTTGAACCCTACACCCTAAAAGTATCACTTTGCTCCATAAGGAGCAGGCAAGTGGGTATTGTTGGGCCGGATGTCTCTATAGACCGTCTCGCCGTCTCGAATCTCCAGTCTGTCCCCGACCTGAGCCAGAGCTCCAAGGAAACGCAGGCAATCGCTGATATTCCTGTAGTATATCATGTATAGTATAGTAAGTTGTAGTATGGTATAGTAAAGTATAGTATAGTAACGTATAGTATCGCATAGGTTAGTGTTAGCATTAGTGTTAGTAGTAGTATAATATTAGTCAGTATTAGTATAGTAGTAGTAGTAGTAGTAGTAGTAGTAGTAGTAGTAGTCGTAGTAGTAGCAGTAGTAGTAGTAGTAGTAGTAGTAGTAGTAGTAGTAGTGTATTCGCATAGTATTCGTATAGTATTCGTATAGTATTAGTATAGTATAGTATAGTATAGTATAGTATAGTATAGTATAGTATAGTATAGTATAGTATAGTATAGTATAGTATAATACAGTATAGTATAGTATAGTATCGTATCGTATAGT